CAAAAATGATTCACTGAGTTCTGGATTTTTTTTAATATAAAAACACCAAAAGTCGGGCTGGAGCGATAGCACAGCGGGAAGGGTGTTTGCCTTGCATGTGGCTGGCCAAGTTCGATTCCCAGCATCCCATCCAGGAGGAATCCCTGAGCATTGCCAAGTGTGACCCAAAAAAGCAAAAAAAAAAGTCTATTGGAATATCTATTGGAATATTTTCACAGTGCTTGCTCTTGGTCCTCTATTGGCTAGTAATATTATTAGCATTGTAGCACTGTCCTCTCGTTGTTCATCGATTTGCTTGAGTGGGCACCAAGAATGTCTCCATTGTGAGACTTGTTACTGTTTTTGGCATATCGAATATGCCACAGGGAGCTTGCCAGGCTCTGCTGTGCGGGCAGGATACTCTCGGTAGCTTGCCGGGCTCTCTGAGATGAACAGAAAAATCGAACCCAGGTCAGCCACATGCAAGGCAAATGCCCCTGCCCTCTGTGCTATCACTCCAGTAATATGTAATATTATTACCAAATGATAATTGCCCCTTTTGAAGACCAGTCTTTCCTTTTATTTTCATAAGAGTAGAGGGGTAAAAAGGTGACAAGTTCCTTTTTACTTGAGTTGGGGGTGTTAAGGAAATAAATATTCTGTAGCAATGTTTGTGTATTAAGTTCTAAGAATAGTGGTAAAAATCTTGAAAACCATAAAAGTATATCACCTTTTTAGTGAGAGGAGTCAGGGTTTATCCGAAGCAAAGTCAAGTAGTTTGAGTTGAGTAGAACAACTTCCTATCTTATACCAGAAATAAAGCCATCAGCATAAACATACTGGATAAATCTGGGTGTCTTGCATCTTGTAGGTGCTAGAATAAGTTAAGAAGGTTGGTGTCTGGGTTGGGGAGATAGCTCAAAGGGCTTGGTTGCCTTCCACAGGAGCCTCGGGTTTGAACCCCACAACACATGGTCCTCCAAGCATCACTAGGAATAGCTCTCAGCGCTGCCAGATGTCGCCCAAAAACTGGCAGAAAAAAAGTTTATCTTCTCTCACATATTCTCTGCCGCTCCATGCTAACACTATTATTATTTCATTTTTCCTTCATGTAAACAAATACCAAAGAAAGCCAGAAAAACCAACTCCATTACATATGGGGGAAAATGGGATTGAACAAAAAATATTGCTTCATATTCATCTGGTTATTACTATAATTATATCCACATTCAGTGCTATAATTAACATTTTGAGCCTTTGCTAAGTACAAAATACAGTATCAAGCCCTTTATACCTACTAACTCATTGTAACTTTATATGAATCCGGGCAGCATCAACTTTATGGTTCTATTTTGCAGAAAAAATAAATTTAAGAGATTAATTTTCCATCGAAAGTCTGCTCAATTATAAAGGACCAGATTATCTTACAAACCCAGGCTGTCTCCAGAGCTAAGGAATATCATTCAAAGCTTCCTAGGGCACATCACAGCATGTAGTAGGCATAGAGGTAGCATTGAGGAAGAATTATTTTGAAATGATCAAACTAAGGACAAAAGAATATGCCTCTTGCAAAGTCTATCCATTTGAAAAATAAGCTACTGAATTACCTGAAAAATCATCTTGATGCTTGCCAAGTATTTCATATCTCAAACCCATGTAACCAACAGTACCAGCAATGATAAATTTATTAATGATAATCTATGATATCAAGGGCTCCTTGATATTTACTCACTGACCTTGGGTTATGTCATTTAACCTTTACAGCATTCTTGTGGGACTGAGAAAGCTTCTTAGTTTTTATAGGGAAAAAGCTAGAACAAGTTTAGTTGTCTTCCCAGAGTCCCTGGGAAATTCAAATTCAGGATAGAATTTTTTTTAAGCTACTAACATGTTTCTTGAAATTCAACCTGATTGGTTAAATTTAAATTATATTCTTTTTCTGTCATATAAATGCTTAGTTAATATTAACATAAACATTGGGTAAATCTGGTTAAATCTTCTGGTTTTTATACAACAAAGAAAAAAATTATTTGTTATGTAATATATATGTATATGTATATTTTTTTCTTTTTGGGTCACACCCGGTGATGCTCAGAGGTTTCTCCTGGCTCTGCACTCAGGAATTAATTCTGGTGGAGCTCGGGGAACCATATGGGATGCTGGAAATTGAACTCAGGTCAACTGTGTGCAAGGCAAACGCCCTACCCGCTGTGCTATCGCTCCAGCCCCATATAAATATATTTTAATCTATTCAAAGTTAAATTACTTGCCGAAACTACAGAGCAAATAAGGGAACCATATTCCATATCACTACAACTGAAGGTATTTGTGTACAATAAAAATTGAAAAGTTCCAAAAAGAATCATGGGTCTTAAGCATTCATTTGTTAAATATCCACTAAGATGCATCAGTTAGGTGTTTTTATTTTTTTTTTAATTGGGGAGGTAGTAGAGGAAATTCTAAGCAAGTCACATCCAGATTTTTTCATTAGCAGATACACATTTGGAATGGTGAGATAAAACTGCTAGCTTAAGGAATGCCAAGTATTTGCCAAATCCTAGCATAAAAGGATTTTACTATGTGACCTAAACTCATGACAGTTAATCAATTAATCTTGGTTAGAAGTAATTCCCCTTCATAATATCATACTTCATACCTCCTTGGAAATTTTCAGGAAAAGCACTGTTTTAACGATGATTTCAAAAACAAATATTGTGAATGCTAGAGGAAGTGACAAATCTAGCGGTGTAAGACTTTGGGACCACCTCCTATCTGTGAAGTCCCAATTCTTCTATCTGTATTACATTCCTGCGTACCTTTGCCTGATCTGGGTGTTCATGGGTCTAAAGAAATTGGTGGAAAGCTGTGAGTCCCACTGGCTGGATCTTGCCTTCCCTGACTCCTTCTCTCTTCCCCCTTCACCAGAACCCTCCCCACACTGTAGCCTATTCTTAGTTTGAATTCAGGAAGTTCCTCAAGGACACAGAATGCCTCTGCTGTGGTCTGCCAGTGTTGGCCACTTGGTGTGAAACTGGGAGTCAGTGATAGCTTTTATTCTTAGAGCATCGAGGGTTGCTCATCTGTCTGAGCTGCAGTTCGCCAGGTTTTCTCATTGGTTGCTCCCTTTTGGTACCACCGGAAGTGCAGGTATGCCTGGTTTTTCCTACATCTTAACCACTGGACTGTACAGATGTGTGTTTTACACACTGAAGGCCTGCAGCATCCCTGCATCCAGCAAGACTGTCTGTTTTGCCCCTTTTCCAGTAGCCTGTGCTCATCTCACGTCTCTATGTCAGCATCTTAGCAAATCTTGCAATATTTTTCCAGCCCCAATTTCAAACTTTTTAATAACTGTGTATGTTGTGGTGATCTATGATATTGATGTTACTAATTGCTTTTGGGGAGCCACAAAGTGGGCCCACATCATATAACAGACTTACACTCTATGTAGTGGGGATAGAGCTCTTGCCTGGTGTGCAGCTGACCTGGGTTCAATCCCAATTCTGAGAGCTTGGCTGACCAGTTGTTTCATGGCCCTCTCCCTTTCCTCACGCCTTCTTAGTCCCTGGAACACACGATTAAAGTCAGACCAGTGAAGAGCTTTCCCTGGCCCTAGGTATTCATATGAAAGGAAGGGTCGTGTGCCACTCAGTGCAGAACAAAAGTTAGAAATGATTACACTGTTGTGGAAGCTTTTGCTGACGCTGATCTAGGCCAAGTGTTAGGCCTCTTGTGCCACAATCATCTCGGCTGTGAATGCAAAGGAAAGGTTCTTGAAGGACATTAGAAGTGCTGCTCAATGGACACAGGAATGATAAGAAACAGCCTTCAGGGGGATAAAGTATTCGTGGTCTAGAGAGAAGATTCATACTAGTCACAGAACACTCCTTTAAACTACAGCCTAACGGAGTATAAAACCTACTTCTCTTTAGTTCTATGACAGCTGAGAGAAGGGGAGCAAGCTGCAGAAGAAAACTTTCAAAGTTTGAAGGCAGCAGAGATTGGTTCCTGAGGTCTAAGAAATGCCATGATATGAAAGTACAAGGCAAAGTGGCAGGTGACAGAGAAGTGACTAAATCAAAATGCCAGGCTGGAGCCATAGTACAGCAGGTCTTGCCTGGCATGCTGCTGACCTGGGTTGAACCCTAGGCACCCCATATGGTCCCCCAAGCTGGCCAGGAGTGATTCCTAAACTCAGAGCTAGGAGTAAGCCCTGAACACTGCTGCATGTGGCCCCCAAAACCAAAATAAATAAATACATAAATAAATACATCATTTTTTTTAAAAAGCCAGGTATCAATGGCTGGCTTCCTTCTACCATCTGCATTCTCTATTACTTCTCTCAGTTCACGTAAGTTATCAGCTATTCAATCAGTAAGTTAAAGAAATAAAATGTGACTTTTCATTACAAAGGCAAAGGTATTGAACTTATTATGGCTTTGCCAACTCAAATATGTTCATTTCTTGCAAACATGGTGTCCGATATTCATTTGGTTCTCCTGTTCATTCTCAGGCATATTATTCTTATATAATGTTCATTTTATTGTGCTGCTGTCTTGTTCAGTGTATGGTTTTGGGCACATACCACTAACATCCTTTAAATCTAATACTAAAAAGATCAGATTTTTAAAAAAAACCCTAAAATCAGTCCATTTGATTTCATTTGGAAAATACTACAAGACAGATAACTTTATGCTCTTTTGCCTGGGAGCATCCTTATAGTCTACAGTGAACCCAGCAAGGGTGATCACCTTTAAATGCCAGCCTAGATAAAGCAGTCAAGTTCATTTAATAGTTCGGGCTGAGACCTTGTTACTCAAGTTCTTTGAGTATAAAGCTAGTTCTACTGAGTTTACCTCGGGTGAACATTTGTTTCTGAGTGGGGTTTGTGTGGTCACCGTTATAGCCCGGGATCTGTGAAGAAAAAATGGCTGACAGGACATAGGACAATACATCTGAAGGAGCTTAGTGGCTGGTTGCTTTGCAATGCAAATAACATCTTTCCCTGGTGTCTCTGACAGGGCCGCATCAGCTGTACCGGACGGCTAATGGTACAGGCTGTCAACCAGAGAGGCCGAAGTCCCCGCTCGCCCTCCGGCCATCCTCATGCCAGAAGGTATTTCAGACAAACCCTTTGTATTATTTTTCTACCTATAAACTCAACACAGTCATTATGTAATACAAACACAGAAGTGAACTTTCGTAGAAGACAGAATGTCACTGAGATTGTTCACTGTCACCAGTGTCTGACTTCCTGGTTATTATACACCTTTGCAGCTGGGGAAGGGTCAGGAAAGGGGCAGTTGCTGACCCATGCTACATGCATTCAGATATACCATCACTGGTATAGCTAGTATATCTGAGATCGTAGGCACATTAGTAATCAAATAGGTAGTAACTGGTATGCATGTACTAAATCCATTGCTCCTAGAATTAAAAAAAAAATAGCTGCTTTGCTAGGTTCACTGTTTAGCCACTTACTTTGAAAACAAGTTTACATCATTTGCAGAATGAGAGATGATTGCAGCAGGACTCAAGAGTGACCAAGGCCATACCTGGCCATGCTTGGGGCTTAGGCATATACTCTACCACTTGAACCATCCTCAGCCAAGATAAGTTTACTTTAGGCCATAAGTCCTATTATTTTTGTTTGTTTCTTTGGGCCACATCCAGCTGTGCCCAGGAGATCATATGGGGTGCTGGAGATCAAACTGGTGTCAGCCGCATGCAAGGCAAACGCCTACCTGCTGTACTCTCTCTCCAGACCCAAACCATGAGTCTTGTCAGCAAGATTTGTCCTATTTCAAATGCTCAGTAGACAGCTGCTAACAATAGTGTGCGTTCCACTCCTACGAGCGCCTGAGTTTACCCAAGACGTAGTGGGGTGAGGACCAGGAAAGGACAGCACCATTTAATGACACACTTCATTAGCGTCAGGGTGCAGCCTGTCCCCTTGGGTCCCTGCTCAGGTATTTTACAGGCAGGGCTCGCTCAAAAAACAGAAGGAAAACAAGAGAACAGCAGCAGACAGGAAGCTGCATCGGAGCCCCCTCCTGTGGCTGCTGGGTACTTATTTCAGCTTTCCCAGGCAACTCTGACTCCTAAGGATTTGGTCACTGGTGGCACTGTCAGGTCACAAATTCACAGGCCTGCATCCCTGGCTAGAATGACAAAATATTTAGTAGCAGGGTCTAGGGTCTTCAATACATTTGTTTAACTTTTCCTTATGTCTCTTAAGTAAAGCATTTTGCTCCTACATTCAATCTGTGCATGGAAAAACTATATTTAAAAGCTGATAAGTATTAGCTTTTTATACTTTAACTTTTTATACTTTAACTTTTTCGATTCTTTTCTAAGTATGCTTACACTTCTAGTGATGGCTGGCAGAATTTGTATTCGGTGTCTTGCTCTTTTCTCGAGCCTTCCCTGATACTTAAATTGTATTTGGCTTAGTGGTGCCCGTAGCACCCTACTTAAAGGCATAAGGCATGCCCCCAAAATATATGAGATTTTCACATATTTATTTTAAAAGGAGAAAAAATGTCTTACAGCACATGAAAAGTGATGCAAAAAATCCTAAAAATGTTACTGTTTTCTTGATTAATATAAATTATTAATAATTTATAATTTATTAAAATAAAATCTTGATTAATATAAAAAGGAATTTTTATTAGATGTTAAATTGGACAAACTGGCAGGCTACCAAATGTAACCTGCCCACACGGCAGAGTTTGGCAAACTCCCCGTGGTATACCCAATATGCCAAATACCAGTAACAATGATGGATCTCATTCTCCTAACCCTGAAAAAGCCTTGAATATGGCACTTAAAAAAAAAAATCTCAGGGCTAGGACGAAGAAGACGTTACTGGCACCTGCTCGAGGCAATCGACGAACAACAGGGTGGTCGTGATCGTGATTGTGATCGTTAAATTTTTACAAAACAGTTAACTTTGTTTCCTATAAATTTAAAGTCACTAGGGCAGGATATGGTTGTTTCTTTTGAAAAAAGATTGGGCAATGAATAAATGAACAACAGCCGCTACTCCTCATACAGCTTTGGAAATATTTAGGGAAAAGTTTATTAAAGAGTGCTTTATTTTTCCCCACTTCCCTTTTTATGATTTAAATGAGCTTAAAGGACTGGAGTAGTGAAGATATGTAACTAGTAGAAAAACATATAATAAACTGCCAAATGAGATAGGATTTTTGCTTTTATGACGTTTTAAAAAAATATATAAATCTTGGGGGTAAGAATCAGGTGAGGAAGTTTAATTGGTGCCCTGTACTTTTTGGGTCACACCCGGAGATGCACAGGGGTTACTCCTGGCTTTGCACTCAGGAATTACGCCTGGCAGTGCTCAGGGAACCATACGGGATACTGGGAATTGAACCTGGGTTGGCTGCATGCAAGGCAAACGCCCTACCCGTTGTGCTATCGCTCCAGCCCCTGTACTTTTTTTTTTTAAAGATAACAATGACTACCAATTCTCTTGTTTTAAGACCTCGCTCTAGATCAAGGGACAGTGCAGATGAAAATGAACCCATTCAGGAGAGATTCTTCAGGCCTCACTTCTTGCAAGCACCCGGAGATCTCACTGTTCAAGAAGGAAAACTCTGCAGAATGGATTGCAAAGTAAGTATCTGTTATCACTGACAAACCTATCACTTCTCATTGCCATTTTTATTTTGTTATTTAGAGAAGTTGCCTAAGATATAGGTAACTTTTGCAAATATTTTCAGGCTTATGATTTATTCAAGAAATATGCTGGATACTTATACATTATTTTAAATCTTCCTTTACTTTTAAAGTTTTGCTAATAAATATGTTATTTACTTAAAACTCCATATATCACACTCCAGGAAAATCACTGATAGTTTTTATCCCTCTCAGGTTTTCCATTTTGTTGAAATAATAAGCATGCTTCTGGCAACTTTGAATTATCTCAATGAAAACAACCCCATTGATTTCTGTTCTTAAAATTTATATAATTTTGTTTCCTTTGCACTTAGTTTGTTCCCCCCCCCAGTTTTATTTAGATGATGCCTACATTTTTTAATTTTTAAATTTTATTAAAGTACCATGATTTGCTGTTATTCGTATATTCAGAGTATTTTAGACATTCTATGTTCCAGCACCAATCCCACCACCAGTGTTTTATTCCCTCCACAAGAGTTCTCAGGTTTGTGGCTGGAGTGATAGCACAGCGGGTAGGGCACCTTTGCCTTGCATGCAGTTGACCCGGGTTCAATTCCCAGCATCCCATATGGTCCCCTGAGCACTGCCGGGGTAATTCCTGAGTGCAGCGCAAGGAATACCCCTGTGTACCGCCGGGTATGACCCAAAGAAGAAAAAAAAAAAGAAAAAGAAAAGAAAAGAAAGAGTTCCCAGGTTCCCTCCCCCTCATACTCTTTTCTCCAGCCTGCCTCCTTGACAAGATGCTTATATTTTTAAATTAAGACATTTCTTTCCCAGGGCTGGAGCCATAGCACAGCGGGTAGGGTGTTTGCCTCGCACAGGTTTTATTCCCAGCATCCCATATGGTCCCCCAGCACCACCAGGAGTAATTCCTGAGTGCAGAGCCAGGAGGAACCCCTGCACATCGCCAGGTGTGACCCAAAAAACAAAACAAAACAAAACAAAATTTTCTTTCCTAACCTTAATACCCTCAAACTGAGGCTATTGACTGGAAGTGGTGTACATCCCTGTTTTGCCCTTGCTTTTAGGGGGGGAAACATAAAATCTTCCATCCTGAGTATCTTATTATATGTAGATTTGTTTTATAGATGCTCTTTACTATGCTGTAGAAAGTTTCCTTTGTTCTCAGCTTGCTTGGAATTTTTGTCAGGCATTTTATCAAGGGTCTTTAACCTATTAAGATGGTCATCTGCTTTTCCTGTTCATCCTGTTGATGTGGTAAATTACATTTTTTTAATATTTGGGGAATTTCTTACATCTGTGTTCATGAAGTATTGGTTTGCAGTTTTCTCTCTTGCATTGCTTTAGTTTGACTTTGCTATGGGGTTAATCCTAGCCTCATATAAAATGAGTTTTCATAGTTAAAGGTTTTTTAAATAAAGAAGTTTGTAAGTTCTCCCTTCTCTTGTATTCCCTGGGAATTTTTGTGAAATTGGCATTATTTCTTCTATAAATATTTTAATCAATTGCCAAGAAAGCCATCTGGTTTGGAGGGGTTTCCCTAACCCCCTTTGGTTGGAAAGTTCTTTTAAAAATAAATCAATTTCGGGCTGGAGTGATAGCACAGCGGGTAGGGCTTTTGCCTTGCTTGCACACAGCTGACCCGGTTCAATTCCCAGCATCCCATATGGCCCCCCCGTGCACCGCCAGGGCTATGTCCTGAGTGCATGAGCCAGGAGTAACCCCTGTGCATCTCCGGGTGTGACCCAAAAAAAGCAAAAATAAATAAATAAATGTCTAAGATGGAAAAATAAAATGAAAATAAACATGCTGAAATGCTGATTATGACATCTGTGATCCTCATTCTTTTTTTAAATTTTATTTATTTATTTATTTTTATTAGTGAAACACCATGAGGTACAGTTGTAGACGTACTCTTTTAATCAACTTGAGCCATATCCCCAGCACCCATTTTCTGTTTATTTTTTTCCTTTTTTTTTCTTTTTTTCTGGTTTTTGGGTTACACCCAGCTATGCTCAGCAATCATTCCTGGTGGGGCTGGGGACCGAAAGTGGTGTCAGTGATCCAACCAGGGTCAGCTGCATGCCAGGTGAGTGCCCCACCCACTCTGCAGTCTCTCAGCATCCCTGTTTCATTTTCTAAGAAAAGTTGGAGTGTCTCCTTTAGACCCATTTTCGACAGCTTGGAGAGGCGAGTGTTATTAGATATGTGAACACTGCACTGTGTGCAGAACTGCCTTTGCTAGAGCTTTAATCAACTTCTCCAAGGATCCTGAGGCCAGCAATGTTTGAACCACAGCTCAGAATAGCTCTGACTGACTTGGCGCCCAAACCCTACTCCCCGTTAGTTAGCACTAAAAAAGAAAGGTTTTAATTATTTGGGTGCCCTCTGCTGGCCCTCTCTAGGATTGCAAGACACAAATTTAAGTGCTTCAGTCTTAGAGGATTTGGGCTTTACATTTTTTTTTTCAAGAAAGTAAAATGGGCTTGTGGAAATGTACAGAAAAAGTAAGTGTATTTTTAACTAATTCAGCATCACTTGATCACTTGACTTCCCGTTAATCGGCGATTTGCTCAAGCGGGCGCCAGTAACACCTCCATTAATCCCTGTCGCGTGCTAGTGTAGCCCAATGGTATCTGCTCATTCTGGGAACACGAACAGACTCAAACCAATCATTCAGGGTCTTGATGAAGAAGTCTGACCATCTGGTAGGTGGGCGGCCACGCGGTCTTTTGACATCCCATGGAATCCAGTCGGTAACAGCTCTAGTCCAGTGGTCGTCTTTAAATCTCATTACGTGACCAGCCCATCTGATTTTTGACACCTTGGCAAACGAGACAGCGTCCCTGATTCTTGATCATCAATGGATGTCGGAACTCCGGATTCTTTCTCTCATTTGAGTGAAACGTGATATTCCAAGCATAGCTCTTTCAATTCCTCTTTGGGAGACCCAAATAGCGTTCTCATTCTATTTGTGTAGGGCCCAGGTCTCTGAGGCGTATATTAATGCAGGAAGAACAGGGGGATCGAAGAGATGTGCCCGGAGCCGGAGGTTCTTCGTCCTCTTAGCTATTTCTTCAATGCTCTTGAAGGCGTTCCAAGCCGCTTTCTTCCTCCTGCACAGCCCGGGTGCCAGGTCATTTGTCAGCATAAATTATTTTATTTTTATTTTATTTTGTTTTTGCTTTTTGGTTCACACCCGGTGATGCACAGGGATTACTCCTGGCTCATGCACTCAGGAATTACTCCTAATAGTACTTGGGCGACCGTATGGGATGCTGGGAATCAAACCCGGATCCGCTGTGTGCAAGGCAAATGCTCTACCCGCTGTGCTATCGCTCCAGCCCCACATAATTCTTTTTTACAGTAAAAGTACACAAATTGTGTTTCATTGTGTGTATATGTATATGTGTAAGTACTTTATTTTTGGTTTATAAGAACTCATGCAGTCTGGGGGAAGGGGGAAGAATTCATACAATCTACCTGTAAAATAATATTTTCATCAACAGAAGTAAATTTTATTTAGATAGATCATTAGATGATATTAATGAGGACAATTAATGTGTAATACTATTTTAGACTGGACTGAACATGTTCGCCACTCAATGCCTCTTTGGCTGATCACAGCGCCCAGGAGGAGAGAGAGAACAGGGGGGAATGCCCTGCCACAGTGGCGGGGGGGATGGGGGGATGGGAGGATGGGGGGGAGGGATATTATCCTGGTGGTGGAAAATGGGCACTGGTGGAGGGATGGGTATTTGATCGTGGTATGACCGAGATCCAAGCACAAAATTTGTAAATCTACAACTGTACCTCATGTTGCTTCACTAATAAAAAAAATAAATAAATAAAAATAAAAATAAAAAAAATAAATAAAAAAATAAAAAATGTGTAATACTATTTTATGTGTAGCACTATTTTTGGTATAAAAGGGAAATTGTAACTGACAGAAAAAAATTTTTTAAATATACTGGGCTATAGAAAAGTAAAATTTCATAAAGTCTTGGATTTACTTTAAAATATTGTTGCATATGGAAGTAGGAATATTGATAAGTACCTTCCCTGAATAGTCACCATACTAGCTCCATTTTAGATTATATTTAAGAAGGAGATATGATAACATTATTTCACTGCACTGAAATACCTAGCCTTTAATCTCTGCTTGTTGATTTCACGGTTACAGTAGGACCTGAGTATAAATGTAGAAAATCGTATCACACGAACAACAGATGGAATGTTCCTGTTTCAGGAAAACAAAAAGTGTCAGCATATGTAGGCTTTTTTGTTTGGAAGGGAGGGGTAGTCATTAAAATAAGTCCAGGACTATAGCATCAGCTGGAGTTCACCTCAGTACTCCCCCCATCTTAACCCTTCAGGTATATTCCTAGACACTGATCACCTAAGGCTTGGTATCAGACTCTGAGGGAAAATAATTAATCCCACTCCTGGAACTGAGCATCCCTCCTGCCCCCCAGCTCAGAGCTTGGCTCTGCTGGGTTATCGCCTGCTCACAGTGACCTACAGTTCCCGAGATCAAGCTGAGATTTTTGCGAAAGCAACAATCTAGGTAGGGGGTTAGAATAAGGAGAGACTACCAGGCCTTTCTCTTTGCTTTCACGGGAGTGAGAAGCCCAGCTCAGGTGTGTGATGAGTCTGGGGGCCCAGGAGACCCAGAGCTTTGGGCCTCTGTCCTACCAGACTGTCTCCTCATGGCCCTGTTGTTCCAGGCTAGCTAGAATTTGGGGACAAGCCATGCCACTACTTCCCAAACTTGGAGACAGCCTGGTGGCCAGCCAGCTGCATGCTTGCAAATTCTCTCCATCTTTGTAAATATGTCCACCGTCGTCTCTTACAGTTCTCCAGCCCTTTGCCACCTCTGAATGTGGAAGCCACCGGTGGTGATATAAAAGCGCATTACGCCCCAAGCATGAAATTTGTGTTTTGGTTTTTTCTTTATTTTGGGGACATACCTGGTATTGTTCAAGACTTAATTCTTCAGGACAGTGCTTGGAGGACCATAGGGGTGCCAGGGATGAACCCAGGTTGGCCAACCACATGCAAAGCAAGCGCTGTACCTACTCTGCATCTGGTTGTTTTTGTTTTGTTTTGGGGTCATACCCGGCAACACTCAGGGGTTACTCCAGGTTCTGCACTCAGGAATTCCTCCCAGGGGTGCTCAGGGGTCCATATGGGTTGCTGGGCATCAAACTCAGGTTGGCCACGGGCAAGGGCAGCACCCTACCTGCTGTACTATCTCTCTGGCTCCACCGGGCCGGTTTTGGGCCAAGCTGGGTTCCTCAAAAGAATTGTGTGCATCCAACTGACATCTTTTTGTTCAGAATTTCCCACTTTTTGTGAATTAGGGGTAGGGGATTTAAAAGACCTATTTTTTTTGGAGTATTTTTTTTAATTTATTTTTTATTTTTAGTGAAACACCATGAGGTACAGTTGTAGATTTACAATTTTTTGTGCTTGGGTTTCGATTATACAATGATCAAATACCCATCCCTCCACCAGTGCCCATTTTCCACCACCATGGATAATATCCCTCCCACCCCCATCCCTCCCATCTCACCCTGCCTCTGTGGCAGGGCAATCCCTTGTGTTCTCTCTCTCCTAAAAGACCTATTTTTAAAAGTATTTTTTTGTCACCCCTGCCCTTTTGAATCAAGGCTAAAGGCCATAAAAATGAACTGCAGTGGCACCCATCTCTGCCCTTGGCAGCGCAGCATTCTGAGCAATGAAATATGCCTTTATCTGATCTCCAGTCAACACGACTGTCATGGTCTCAGCACCGCCGTGCTGTTTCCATTGTGCTGCTAATCTGTGGGGATGGCTTCCTGGGTAATTTTCCTATGGCTCTTTGACTTAGTCTCAGGGATTATAAACTAGTCATAGCACTGGGTGTTGATGGATGCATTAACTCATGTCTCCATAGCTACAGCAGCTCTGTCCTGGGCGCCTGGAGTGCGTAAGTGGCAGCTGAGTATCTGTCATTGTTATTAAGGCTGGACGTCTTTGTTTTTTCCCCGGGGAAGGGGGGTGCTCGGAGCCTGGGGCTTACTTCATCCTCCCTGAAATCTTTATGACCCTGCCGTCAGCCCCGGTCAGCAGAGGATGTTCTAATCCCTATTTCACTGTTCTTCACCTGGCTCCATGAGAAACCAGCATGAGTCTAGGCAAGTTCAGGAAAGGTTTGAAGGCACCCGAGTGTCGGTCTTCCTCCCAGTGGGACAATCGGCAGGGCCTGCCTGCACTCAGCACGAGCTGCTCTGTCGGAGGGGAGAGAAGTGAACAGTGTTTCCCTTTCTGGTTTAGGTCAGTGGGTTACCCACCCCAGATCTGAGCTGGCAACTCGACGGGAAGCCCATCCGGCCTGACAGCGCGCACAAGATGCTGGTGCGTGAGAATGGGGTCCACTCACTCATCATCGAACCCGTCACGGCCAGAGACGCGGGCATCTACACGTGCATCGCAACCAACCGCGCAGGGCAGAACTCCTTCAGCCTGGAGCTCGTCGTTGCAGGTAGGGGCGCCCGTAGCCCTTTCCCACTCCCAAGGGGCATGTCCGCTCTGGCAGCATAAGTTGACCCTGCCTTGGTGGCCATGACGGAAGTTATGCCAGGCTGCTCAGGAAAACTGTATGATCGGAAGAGACAGTGAAGGCATGTCCGAAGGCCTAGAAAATGAGAAACTTGGGGGCTGGGGTAGGGGTAGTGCTCCCAAGCAGTGCTCAGGAGGCCCTGGGCCCTCACCAGCAATTCTCAGCCGGCCGGGTTGGTATTTCAGTGCAAGGGCTAGAGGATGTGATGCAGCTGGGGCTCCGCAGTGCTGCAGATACCCAGGCCTGGGCCCTCAGGACCGTACCCTGGTGGTACCCAGGGGACCAGTTGTTGCCAGGAACCAGGCCTAACTGCAGAACTTCGCCCCAACCCCTCAAACTCATTCTCTTCTCTTGGAGCCATTATTATTTATCAGGCCTCTCTCCCAGGAGCCTAGGCAAGAGAGAAAAGGATTTTAGTCACTTTTCTAGGCCACTGTCCTCATGTGGTTTTTGGCCAAGCTGGGTTCCTCAAAAGAATTCCTCAGGGTTTCAGAGAGAAAGAGGAACAATGTTAATGTGCAAGAATTAGCTTATCATGCTTCTCTGCACACCTTTTTCTTTACAGTTATGGCAATGATTTCAGACATCTCTCCCCAGAAACCATAGTCAAATTAAACAAGGATCTGCTTTTTAATTGAATTCTCCTCAAGGTACATTCTAGGAAAGTAACGTTATATGAAGTCTTACTCTTGGATAAGGAAACTGAACGTATGGACAGGAGCTGCGCATGATTAGGAACTTTAATCTCTGTTCTTGAAAATATCACATTCGCTTCTCACACTTCTGTGTGCGAAGTACTGCATGTACTTGATCTCAGTTGGTTCTGATGAGCTCTTTGTAATGCTTCCGTTTTTATGAGGATAAAATCATAAAATGTGGATGAAGCTCTGCATCAGGAAAATGCTCCAGAGCAGTGTTCCAAAGGGTAGATGCTATTGTCACTCAGAGATCCTATGATATTCAGGCTCATTTATGGCTTCTATACTTGTTTCAAAATGGAGACCCAAGTATAGTGGAAACTAAGGTTCTGTTCTCACTTTACCCAGGTAGCCATATAAAACCCAATAAAAGTCCAAGCCTCTACACAATGCATGGGCGAGGTGAATCTCAGGCCCTCAAAACTTCCAGGTTAAATTTCTCTCTTCCTGGCTTTCTCCATGGCTGCTCTGTTTTTGATGTCACACCAGATTGGGGGCAGGAGGACTGGGGGGGAAGACGTGTATCCTTAAATTATTCGCTGCTGGCATCTCCAAAGGAAACACCTTTCACTGAAATTGCTTCAAGCACAGATCCAAGAGAACAATTTCCCATTCCGTGATAATCATCTCAGTGTGATTAACCATTAGTTCTGATGCGTTTAGACAAGATAATAAAGTCTTGTTTCCAATGACTACCTTCAAATAATACAAATTATCATCTGCAGAGTGTAAAACTTTTGTTGACAAAGCTGCCCCCCCTTTATTTTACACCCGACCCTTTGAATCCTAGGGTGCATGTCTCACTTATGCTAGGACTTAGAAGTCTTCAGAAGCGGGAGAGTAGCTTTCCAGACAGCTGGGAGGGGAGTTGAGTGGATCCAGGTCTGAGAAACTCGCCTACCTGAGCACCACTAGGTGGCGGTGGTTGGTCAGGGCTGGCAGGGCACTGCCTCATCCTTAGAGCAGGGTCGCCCATCCCAGATGCCAACGTAGGATCTCACCTCCTGGCGAACCAGCAATCAGGACAGCAGATGGCCAGTGCGCTGTATGGGCCTGTCAGATGTGAATTAATTGAGAAAAATAAATGAGTCGAATGGAGCGTGGGGACCTTTCTTGGTGAAAAGAACAATTTGGAGAGGGTGAGCGTCTTAAAGCACCTGAAGTGACAAATGGCCTTTCAAAGAAAGGAGCTATTTAAGCGATATTTCAGAATCGCTTTTGCAGCAGCCTTTTGTCGCGCCTCCTTCGTGTGTCAGTGATAGATCGTTCATCTCGTGTTCTCGCAGCCAAGGAGGCGCACAGAGCCCCTGTGTTCGTGGAGAAGCTGCAGAACACGGGCGTGGCCGACGGGTACCCAGTTCGACTTGAGTGCCGTGTGCTGGGCGCGCCCCCGCCGCAGATCTTTTGGAAGAAAGAAAATGAGTCCCTGACTCACAGCACTGACCGTGTGAGGTGAGACTAGTGACTTCCCCTACCCATCACCGCACTGTCCAAGAGATGCACTTTGCACAAAGAGGTGCAGAAAATTAAGTGCAGGAGTGCTGCTTATTGATTTTCTATAACCAAGACAAAAATCATGTCCCCTAATATATGATTACATGTTTTTGAGCTTGTGTGTGTGTGTGTGTGTGTGTGTGTGTGTGTGTTTAAGTGCTTACCTTCCTACGTGAAAGATAGATCCATTTGCTTCCATAGTTGATAGAGGAACTATTTGTTCAGCGGCTTTTATAAAGGCAGCCCCATCCAATGGAAATTAAGTGCACAGATGTATTCAACCTCTCTTCTCGTCTGCTCTTGCTTCCCATTAGAGTTAATGGGGCCCACAGCCTCTCTGGAAGAAGTATGACCCTATTAGCTGCTCTTCGCACCGTGCTATTTCTAATGATCTCATTAAAAATGATGCTTCATGTCCAGAGCCACTTTTTAAAAATTTAGAATGCTAATGACTTTCTCTCTCTTTTTTTTTCCTCCAGCATGCACCAGGATAATCACGGCTACATCTGCCTGCTCATTCAGGGAGCCACAAAAGAAGATGCTGGATGGTATACAGTGTCAGCCAAGAACGGAGCGGGCATTGTGTCCTGCACTGCCAGGCTGGACGTTTACAGTGAGTGCCCCTTCACCTCATTGCAAGCCTCTGGCATTCTTAAAAATAAAAGACACAAGGCTGTGTAGCTAAGAGGTTAGAGCACTGCTATTATTACAAAAAAAAAAAAAATAGTTACCTGGACAGCAAGTCACATTACTTTCCTGCACTCTTATAAAACTATTGTGTGTCATTTGCCAGTGATTTCATATTGCTCTTTCTCTTTCTGTTTATAGTTTCTCAACATTAATAGTGAAGTACACCAGGAGAACAAATACCCAAGTATCATTCAGGAGCTTGTATTATTAGCAAAATATGCATGTGGAGTTCCCTCTGCTATTGGCTAGACAGTTGTGGCTTCATTATTTAAGCATCCCTAGGATATAACAGTAGGAAAGGCATAACCACATGACTTTTTCATATTTTCTTGTTCCTGTGCTCTGCCTTTTAACATTTCTTCCCATAACACGACCCTATCACAGTGTCTTAATGCACTCCAAATGTGTGCTATCGATTCTGGAATGCCTAGTTTGCGCCTCAGTGCTTTTCTTATCTATGTCCTCTAGCAGCTCAACAATAGGCTTTGTTTGTGTATGTGTGTAAATGCATCATAAACTTAAGGAAAATCATTTTTTATTGAATTACCAAACTCATACAGTAATAACATGCAACTTACTGGCATAAAAAAAAACACTAGAAAAAGGGACTGGTTGTTCAAATATTACCCCTTTCTGAGTAAGAACTGTTAGATTCTGCAGGAAATGAGAGGCCTCAATCTTCCCTACTGTCCAATTTTTCTTTCAACTGACAGGTATTCTGCATGGATGTTTTAACACCAAGTGACTATAATGTCTGTGGCATTTATATTGGAAGATTTTCTTAAAGGGACAGGGGTGAGAATTAAAATACTTAGCAACATTTCAAATGATTCCCATTGTAGTACTTGCTGTGAAATGGCATTTTGTCTTTGTTATCTAAGTCTTAGCATCCTGCTCATTATCATTATCAACAGCTAACCTGAAATACCTGAGTAAAATGCAAAACTATTCTTGAATTTTAGGGTTGATGCTATGAACATGGTCCATCTTTCACACACACAAAATATGTGCCTGTAATATAATAGAATACATTCTGATGTTTATGTGAAATCGTCAAAGTCTTTCAAATTATATCTTAGCTTTAAAAACCTTACCTTTGAGCCTAGAGTATAGAGCATAGCGGGTAAGGCATTTGCCTAGTATGCCAGCATTCCAGGTTTGATCCATTCCAGCACCGCATATGCTTCCCAGAGAGCCAGGAGTAAGCCTGAGCATTGCCAGGGGAGGCCCCAAAACCAAAAAAGGAATAAAAGTCTTAAACATTGTTTTTTTCTCTTTACAGCCCAGTGGCATCAGCAGCCACAAAGCACTAAGCCAAAGAAAGTACGGCCCTCAGCCAGCCGCTATGCAGCACTTTCGGACCAGGGACTAGACATCAAAGCAGCTTTCCAACCTGAGGCCAACGCGTCTCACCTGACCCTGAACAGCGGCTTGGTGGAAAGCGAAGACCTGTAACCCCACAGTCTCGCAAAAGTGGAAATAACCAGTGCCTTGACCAACTTGCATTCCCTCATCACATTATGTAAAGAGCAAATGCATACCTTTGTCTGTAGGGAGAAAGGAACACCAAAACAATAATCGCGTTACTTGGTATACCAAACTTAGAATTTTAGTAGGTGATGCTGCATAAAAATGTACACATTGCACAGAAAACTCACCTTCGTCATCCAGCGGACAATGTTTGGAATTGCTGTGATTTAAAGAGGTCTGAAAAGCCAAATGCTGTAAAGGAGATCAGTTGTTCTAAGGTAAACACAATGTTTAATATCCAAAGTGCCTTTAAACATTAGCTCTGGGTGCTGCATACCACGATAATGTGGGCTGCATAACATGAGCAATTGTACCACAAATAATAAACAGATAAGTCTCAAGGGGCAGTGTATTCTGACAGCTACCGTGAACCAAGTGCAATATGTAAGGGGGAAACAGAAGCAGGGAGGACAAAGAAATCCAAGAAAATGCCTTGTCTTTGCAAATCAGAAAGAAGGAGTGAATTAAATTTTGTGCACATCAAATTTTCTAACAGGGCTAATAAATTTCTAATGGGGCTAAAAACCTCTAATTTTTGACCTTTTCTTTTTATGTGTAGTGAGTGGTCTCTTTTCATTCTACGTTCGTAGGAAGCTTATTGACATCCCACATTAAAAGGCTAAGTTAAATATAAAGAATTCAGAATAAAGCAGAACTAATTACACTCCATTCCAAGAAAGGTATCCAAAGCACCCACATGACCAAGGCATAGCATTTGGAAGAAAGGGGTTTGGCAGGGAAGGGAAAGAAGGGATTATTACCAGCACACTAAGACTATATTCATTTAGAGAAACTTGTATCGGGGGCAAGAGATATGGACAAGGCCAGGCTTTTCTTTGGTTTTCTTCAAACACAAAACAAAATGCAGGTGAAAAGCACCGCCATTCAGAAGCCAGGGGTCCAGGGTCAACGGGAAGTTTGGAGCACATGTGCTATGGACATTTCAGTGTGTCTTGAAGTCTGTGTCATAGTTGAAGATTTTAGGTGTGTAGAGCAAGTTGAAAATGGAATGAGACTGCAAGATTGGCATAAATGAGAAACTGTCTGTAGGAGTTAGTCTACCGGAAGGAAATGGAGGCTTAGGGAAGACAAAAACAGATTTGTGGCATATTTTTTTTTTGGTTTTATTTTTTTAATAGTAGTACCAAGATTTGGTGAATGGAAAATACTGGTTCCATTCCACATTACCACGCAACCTTGGCTTACAAAGGTGCTAGGTTCCAAATAGTTTGTAAAGGCATCAGCAAAGATGGATTGTTGCTGTCATTTTTGTTTTTGTTTTTAATGCATATGATTCTGCATCAGCTAGATTGAGGTGATTCTGACCAGACTTGATGGTTTTAAGTCGGAACCAATAACTTTTTAAAGGAGAAGAAATAATTTGGCCTACTATTATAAAACATGAGGCTTAATGGTACTTTGCTATGAAAAGAAAACACTGTATTCCTTTTGCAAAACACATTTATCTTTCACTATTTATAATAAAAATGCTGCAGAACTATTAGCTCAGTTACTCAATTCAATATATAGTATTTTTAAAAAATAATTTTATATCTGTGTACCACCCCATATATTTCATATTACTGCTTCACATGTACAGCTTTCTACTTCGTTGTAAGAACACCAACCTGCCAGGTTTGAAATCACTAGTAGACTTGGGCACCGAATGGCAGATATTCTATGCTGAGTGGCACAGCTTTCTTTTGCCACATTTATATGCATTGCTAATATGGGATTTTAGTTACCATTCAAAGTCTCTCATGAACTTATCTATAGCGTAGATGTATGACTGATGTCATATCTTGCCAAATTTCTCTGAGTGTGACTTTTTGCTAACTCGCTGGGTTTGGGATTAAGTAGCATTATTTGCCACCTTTTATGTTGTATTTATAAGAAAGAAAAAGTAAAGTACTATCATTACTATTTTGGATTGTTGTGCTGGTGTAATGTGGTTTTAACATCAATAAATATTTAAGAAAGAATAGTTGCTGTTGCATGAAGCAAAATGTTGTGTTTTCTGTGGCCACTATATTTAATAAGTATACACTTAGAGGTTTTAAACAACACTCGCTTCATAGCCCACAGTTTTGCAGGCATGACATAGCATGGCATAGCTGGGCTCTCTGGAAGGGTGATACAATCAATATCTGCTGGACCACACTCTCCCCTGGAACTTTAAATTCTTTTCCAGATTCACATAGTTGTACCAGAATTTAGTTCCTCACAGTTGCTCAGAGGAGGCCTGTTTGTCAAGGGTCACATTCATTGCAAACATCACTGCATGACCCCTATACTCGCCCCCCGCCACCCATTCAATTAGAAAGAATCCTCCTTACATCTATAAAATCCTTTCAAAGGGCTGGAGCGATAGCACAGCGGGTAGGGCGTTTGCCTTGCATGCAGCCAACATGGCCAACACAGGTTCGATTCCCAGCATCCCGTATGGTCCTCCGAGTACCGCCAAGAGCAATTCCTGAGTGCATGAGCCAGGAGTAACCCCTGAGCATCGCCAGGTGTGACCCGAAAAGCAAAAAAAAAAAAAATCCTTTCAAAGCAGCACCTAGACTTGTGTTTAGTTGAACAGGTACAATATGCAGAAATCTGGGCGCCATCTAGTGAGTTCAGCCCCTTGGTCACATCAGTCCTTTGTTGTGCCCAAGTTTCAGATCCCCAACTGCAGAGAGACCAAGTCCACACACCATAATGCAAAAGCAAAGGAACTCTATTATTAGCCCGAGCCAGCGTTAGCTTGAGCTAGGGTCCAAGTCTCATCCAATGCAGTGGAGTCTTGACAAGGACCCCGACTCCAAATCACAAGTAGTTTATATGGGGTTCAGAATTAAGAAGCAATTGATATACTGATCTATTTTTAGCATTCGTCCTATTACGATGGTGGTCAGCAGTTAGGCGATGGCTAGTAACAGTTTCTAAGGAGGGTACCCTGACCCCTCATGACCGGCCAGACCCAAATGTCCCATTCCTTATCTTGGCAAATTACTCAACTGGGACTTTCCCAGAAACTGCAGTTTTGCTTTGGGGAAACAGAAACTGAGGCCTAGCTGAGATTTAATGTTAGCTGAAGCTTGTCATGGCTGCTGTGGGGCCTGCTTTTGGGCCTCACACCTTTTATGCAGACAGAGAAACAACAGTCCCTACATGACCCCAGGGGAGAATATTCTGGAAACATATTCCCTCTCAGATACAGGATTCCAGATTAGATGGCCACAGATGATCACCCTGAACACAGCCCTCAAGACACACTGAATATTCAACAACACGTGGAACTATCACCTCTGCTTTGGGAGGGTTTTTCGTTTGGTTGCTTTTTGGTCCACATCTGGCTGCACTTGGTGATCACTCCTGGTGGCAGTCAGGGAACCAAATGCAGGTAGGCACCCTACAGTCTCTACAGCCCAGGACTGTCTCTGAGAGAAATCCCCAAATTAGCAGAGCAGCAATTACCCAGCAGACAAGTCCCATCAAAGTAGGGATGAGGGCCAAGGCAGTCTTGGTAAAACCTCCAGGGCAGTAACCCACAGTCAGGGGGAAGTTCATAGGCCTAAGCTTCTGCATGAAAGGTCTGAACCCCACACCAGGCACCCCAACTTCCAAAGCTGACCATGGTTGGGTTTCAGTCATAGTGTCCCACAACCATCCTTCCATCAGTGTACATTTCCCACCACCAATGTCCCCAGTTTCCCTCCCACCACTCTCCGTCCACCCTGGGCAAGATATTCCTCTAACAGGTCCCCCCCCCCCCAACATGGAACCAGCCACAAAACCAAGTCCGAGAGAACTGAGGCCACCGTAAGCTGAATGGCTCAGCCCAGCTTCCCCTGCCTGAGGCACAGGCAGCTTTTAACTCTCATCTGGGGGCTGATTAACCCCCTCTCCAGAGGCCTGGGCAGCCGGAGGGCACCATGTCTGTGGGCTCCCTCTGCCCTGCCCCTACCGCCAAGGAAGGAGCCTGTGTACACATGCGGCTTGTGCGATGCTGCCAGAGCACAAGTACTAGGAGCCTGAATCTCACAGCCAGCGAGGCCGCTGCCTTCACAGCAAGCACACACCAGACTCTCAGGGATCACTTCTCTAGTTCGTTACTAGAGGAGTTTCTCTGATCCTGAAGAGCACCCGGAACCATGAGGAGCCAGAGCATCCTCTCCTGAGTGTGAAGCCAGTTCTTGGTGTTGTATTTGTGACTGCCTTTGACCACTGACTATCATTTTTTCCATTCCTTTGGAAGAAGGGAGGGGAGGAGAGGGAAGGGAAGGAAGGGAAGAAAGGGAAGGGGAGGGAAGGGGGAGTAAGAGAGAGGAGGGAAGAAAGGGGAGCGAGGGAAGGGGAAGAGAAGGAAGGGAGCACTCTTGAAGGTCGCTGGGGGACCTATGTGGTGCTGAAGATCAAACTGATAATCTGCTCCAACAAAGAAGCTACTGTAAGCCCTGTACTGTCTTTCCATCCCATGTGTTGCTGCCTTTTAATGAGTTATTCCTAGTGAAGTATATAAACTCCTTGATTAGACAAAATTGTAATAGTATATATACATAAATCAGCATGAATGGATAAAACTAATTTTCGCATAAAATTTGACAGAATATCTGGCTACATTTTAACCATGCTCTCAAGAACTTCTTTGAGGTAGTTTCAAGAGCCTGGGTAGCTGAGAGAGCCGTACTTCCCCAGGAGAAATACACATTCCAGAAACTTCCAGCAGATTGATTCCAAGGGTCCCAAATCTCTGAGAAATTCTGACCCACTTGAACTCAAGAACCACTGTCAAGGGAGGGTCAAGATTCTTAATTCTCTCTCAGGATTCTTGATTCTTAATCAGATCAGCTGATTCTAGGAGCTATGAATAGCTGTTGAATTTACAAAGTATCTCTGTAGGATTAATAAATATTTCCCCGTCAGAAGAGACAGTGGTATTTACAAATGGTTCCTTGCTGTACCCAAGAAGAACAATATAATAGTAAGCATCTAATTCTCTTCCAGTGAAACTATCTTCACAAGTCCTCAGTAACTGTTTTAATTTACTGAGTTAAGGGCTGCCGATTCTGCAAATAGCCTCACATGTTGTATTTGGTGGGGCAAAGCAAATTCTCTTTAAGAAAGTGAACTCACCATCATCATAACGTTACTCGCTTGTCTCACTGTCTTCACTCAAGTCTACGGTGACTCTTCCAGAGGTGACCCCACAGGCGATGCTGCAAGAGCTTAAAGCAGAAACAGATGTGGGTCCAGCTGCCTTCGATTACACTGGACATTAAAAAAGATCCACCAACATGTAAAATCATGTCACTCTTCCATGCTTTTGTTTGGAAAAAAGTTGCCAGTCTTCAAAAAAATATTTATAACATCGATAATCAGGTGTTTGCTTTGGTATTTTGTAATAAGTTAATAAATATTGAAACATTCCATTTTAATTTCTATTACAGTAAATGCTGCTAGATAGATGTAACCAATGCAGTTAACAAATATTCTTTTGGGTCCTTCACCATTCTTTTTTTTCTAGAATGCAAAACAGTTCCAGAACCAAAAGATCTCACAGCCAATGAACTAGAACCCCAATCCTGGGGGTTCTGCTGATGAGAAGTTTACCCACAGCACCCAACAGTATGGATCCACAAATAGCAATTCCCAGATAGGCATCTGGAACTTCCATTTTGCTTTTTTTTAAGGGTTTTTATTGTTTTTGTTTGCTTTGGGGCCACACTCAGCCGTGCTCAGGGGTTACTCCTGGTAGGACTCAGGGGGACATATGAGATGCCAAGGACTGAAGCCAGGTCTGCCATGTACAAGATGAGTGCCTGAACCACTGTACTATCACTTGGCTCCTGAAGCAAGTACTTTACAATAAAACACAGAAGGACACAAGAGTGCAGTTCAGCAGAGAAGTCGCCTGACAGACATCAGACACACATTCACAGCTAAATCGATCTGATTGTGGTTTTTCCTTAGCCTGCCCTCAGATCACTTTAGGGCCCATTTCTCCCTCACAAACTTGATATACTGGCTTTCTAGTTGTGAAAAATTCAAGGCCAAGCAGAGCCACTGTGGACAGAAGCACCCCGAAGTATTCTGTGGAAATACCCCCAGCACTCACTCTGCTCATCCTCACCAGAAACCACAGGTAAATGCAGGAAGAGCCGGCTGTAGAACTAACCTTACCCAGCATGTCACATCACTGGTGCTCAAGACAGATGTGGAGCTTGGATGGAGGGTGGGAAAGTTGCCAGCGGTGGAACAGCAAAAGCCACTGGGGCTCCACTGAGCTGAGTACAGCAGAACCGCTGGGGAAGGTCTGATTAACATGAGCCGACCCTGGGAAACCGCGGAAAGCTGCTTGAGGCTCAGCAGATCCCTCACGGCCCGAGGGCACACATACTTACTGCTAACTGACCCTTACCTAGGGGAAATGCCTGATGAGAACACCGCTCTACACAGTGGGAGCTTGAGAGGGAGCTTTCACTCTGAGACAGGGTCATAGAGAGAGACACAAAC